TCCCCGCTCTGTCTCTGGTGAATCCTCTCACCCCTCTGCATCTCTGGCCTGTACCCCAGCTCTTGTATGCATAAATAAATAAATCTTAAAAAAACAAAAACAAAATTCAAATAGGAACAGGGGCCTACCTGTGGTGCAAGGGGTTAAGACACAACCTGTGAAGCTTTCCACAACTACTGTAGCATGAGTTTGATCCCCGGCCAGGGAGCTACCTACATAGTGCTGCAGGCTTCTCCTGACACACCTGCTGCTCCCCTCAGCAGTGTCTTTCAGTCAGTCTGCCTATTCTGTTCCCCACTTTGTCTTTGGTGAATGCTCTCACCACCCCCCCGCCACACCTCTGGCCTATACCCCAGTTCTTATATGCATAAATAAATAAACCTTTTAAAAAATAGGAACAAGACAAGGATTGGTTTTCAATATAAAACTAGAATTCTTAGAACTATTAGGCAAGAGAATGACATAAAGAATCCAAATTCTTTGTGAGAGAAGAAATATCATTTTTTTTTTGCATGTGATATATAATGAACCTTAGAAAACCTTACTAAAGCAATAGCAGTTTAGTAAAATAATTGGTTATAAAATCAATACATAAAAATTAGCAGCCTTCCTATATGCAAACAGTCAGTCTTATGGGAGTTAATTAACAAAACCATAACATTCAAAATTGTAGCCGCCCCCAAAAATAAACACTGTAAATCTTAACAAAGGAGGCGAGAGATGATATAAAATTACAAATGATATTAGAAATAGTAGAAGACACAAAGAAATGAAAGACATGCTCTGCTCAAGGATTTGGAGAATTAACATTATCAAAATGGTCATCCTACCAAAAGCAATTTACAGTGTCATTGCAATTCCAATAGAAATCTCAATGGCATGCTTCAAAAAAATAGAACAAATATTGCTTAAACTCATATGAAATCCTTAAAACCCTAGAATAATCACAGTTCTCTTGAGTAAAAGGGGGAAGAATAGGATTATTACACTCAAGGACCTCAATCTACACAAGGCTTAATAGTAAAAATATCATAGGACTGGAACAGAAACACAGATCAGTTGAATCAGATCAAAATCAGAAATAACATCACATATATTGTCAATTAATCTATGACAGAAGGGCAAAGACTATGCACTGAACAAGGATAGCCTTTTCAGTAAGTATCTGGGAAAATTGGGTTGCTGTCAGCAAAAGAATGAATCTAAATCAATATCTCACACCATACAAAAACTAACTCAACACGAATAAAACCATTGAATGTAAGAAAATATACAGACTATATACAAGAAAACGTGTAGTAGAAAACAAACAAAACATTCTATGACAGACATCTCAAAAATAACTTTGACACCTCATCCTCAGAAGCAATGAAAATAAGAGGTGGTAAAAAGCTAGGACTATATCAAACTAAAAAATTTGTATATTAGCAAAGGAGATCAAAACGAAGAGACAGCTTTCTAAGTGGGAAGAAATATTTACACACCATACAACTAAAGAGGCACTGATAGCACAGATTTACAAAGAACTTGCAAAACTCAACCAAAAAAGCAAACAATCCAGTAAAAAATGGGCAGAAGAACTAAGAAGACACTTATTCAAAGAAGTGCAGATGACCAGCAGGTATATGAAAAAATGGTCAACATCACTTATCATCATGGAATTGCAAATCAAAACCACAATGAGATATCACTTCCCATCAGTGAGAATGGCCCATGTTGAACTAACAACATCCAGTGCTGGTGAGGATGATAGGAATGCAAACGGCTGATAGGAATGCAAACTGACCCAACCACTAGAGAAAGCCATGTGGAGATTCCTTAAAACACTTGAACTGGTGCTACCATATGATCCAGCAATTCCCCTCCTACGATTTTATCCAGAGGACACACAAAAAACATTAGTTTGAAAGGAAACCTGTACCCGTATGTTTACTGCAGCACTATTTACAATAGCCTAGATTAGGAAACTACCTAAATGCCCCCAAATACATTAATGTATCAAGGAGATTTTTGTATGTATACACAGTGGAATACTATTTGATGATCAAAAAAAGATAAAGTCATGCCACTTCATTTTGCAACTTAGATGTGCTGAAGGGGATTATGCTACGTGAATTAGATCAGAAGGAAAACAAATATCGCATGGTTTCAATTATTGGTGGAAATCATACAAAGAATCAAGAAAAAGATATAAGTTGTAAACTGATTTTTACAGACCTGAGTCATGAGGGCGAAATGGCGGAGGGCCAAAATAGGAAAGGGAAGAAAACAAGCAACTGTGGTGATGGAATACATGTGCTTTGTTGTTGTGTGAACTTTTGGGACTCCACCTGTCCCGACCCATGGGATTCCAGAGGCACGGAAGAGGGACTGGGGATGAAATGAGAGGCTTACACACTGGACGAGAAGCTGCAAAACGGGGGACCTTTATTTCTTCTAGCACATGCCTTATATACCCTGTGCCTCATGTTCAGGCTACGTGCTTCTTTTTGGTTGGTACTTTACCAGCATGCCTGGCTCGTGCACGTATCATGCTGTACACATGTGTTCATCCCATTGGCGGCTTTGTCCCATTGGCTGCTTGCTTAATGATACACATTCTTACTGCGCCACAACTCGTGGCGGGCCCCGGACATTTACCTAAGGGGAGAAATCGAATGTAGTACAAAAATGAACAATGTCGTATGAAAACAAACCAACTAATAAATACTTTGTTTCTGTTACTATTAATTTTTTTGTATGTTATTGAGATTTCCATAATTTCTCAACTTACATATTGGCCATTTATATACTTGCTATGATCTATTCATATATATCCTTTCTGAAGTCTCGTTCTCATGTGGTTGAATTGCAGAACACAATCTCTAACTATTAAGGTATCTAAACTTTAGTTTCCCAGAAACTGTGAGTATTTGAAGACCTTATTAAACATTAAATTATGATCTTTTGGGCCTCCCTGGTGGCGCAAGTGTTAAGACGCACCCTATGAAGCTGTTTACAGCCTCTGCAGCGCGAGTTTGATCCTTGGCCAACCAGGGAGCAACACACATGGCGCAGCAGACCTCTCCTGACTCGCCTGCTGCTCCCCTCAGCAGTGTCTTCGGTCAATCTGCCTGTTCTGTTCCCCACTCTGTCTCTGGTGAAGCTTCTCACCCCCCACCTCTGGCCTGTACCCCAGCTCCTCTGCATAAAATAAAAATAAATCTTTAAAAAAAAATTATCGTCTCTTACACCTCATACATCATATTCTTTTTCAGCCATTTTGTTTCTTACTGTTTTATCTGACACATTTTTATACTAAATTAGGCTTAAAAAGAGATATTTCTTCAAATATATAATGAAATAATAAAGTCCATTACATGTCATGGACATGTTTCGATTGACACGTGTTAACCAACACATCTTAAGTGTATTCAAAATGTTTGTTCAAAATGTATTAGTTGTTTTAGTTTGTTCAAAATGTATTTCTGTGCCCTTAACTTTTTGGTATAACTTTGTGAGATAATTAGTTGTGTAGTGCTTTTTGTCATGGTAATTGCCTTTTTAGGAAAGGAAAACTCAGTTTTGTTCACAGATACGAAATTTTCTATTTATAGACTGAGTATTTTTACTGATGTTCTTAAAGCATACGTGTTTTTTGTCATCTTTTCTGCTTTACTTTGTAACCCAGTGATCTTGAGTACCAAATTTTAATCAGTAGTTATAGTGGTTTGGCATTATAGATAAAAATATTAGAACTTTGTTTTTATTATTTCTATCAACAGATTCTATATATACACGAGTAATTCCTACATCAAAGATAGTAGTGAAAACACAGGAGTAGTAATTTCTATAGCAGATTCATGTTTCTTTCTAGCTAAAATATATAACTATTATTTTTCAGTTCTTTTGTGCTTTTCTCTTATTACATTTACAATTTATTTATTATTTATATGTTTTTTACATCATTGTTCATTTTTAAGGATATTTGATTTGCCCCCCACGCACAGGTGTAGTACCCATAGAATTTCCTTCACCAATGCACCCATGTACAATCACCTTAGTCCCCTATGCGCCTCCCTCCCTCCTTCCCTCTGATCCTTCTTCCCTCTCCTCCCCTGCAGGATATCTCTTGTTTAAAATTGTCTGTTTCTGTTTTGTTTTGTTGTGTTTAATATTATTTTTCCCCTGATGTCTTACAGAATTAAATACAATGATATAAATACCTTTTAATTAGAAATTTTTAATATTTACATTCTTGAATAATTTTAAGTTAGCTATCTGGTTTATGTTTTCAATGAATTAAAGACTATTCTATGAGTTGTTAAATTCAGAAATGAAATTTCAAATATATATTAATAAAAGCATTATCAATATATGTAGTTTCTATTTGTGTTTTTTAGTTTAATGTTATTGTCAGTTTGAAATCCCAGTGTAAACTGCTTACATCATGATGTTTAATCTCAACATTAAGCACCATTTGTTTTTTTGCTTTTTTTCCCCAATTAATTATTTTTTTTTAAAGATTTATTTATTTGTTTATACAAGCATTGGGTACAGTAAGAAGCGTGGGAGGGTAAGAGAATTCACCAGAGCCAGAGTGGAGAGCAGAGCAGGCAGACTGACGAAGCATACTGCTGAGGGGAGCAGCGGGAGGAAGGAGAGGTCTGCTCGCCATGTGGGACCCTGGCCCGGGGCCGGGGATCAAACCGGTGCTTCAGAGGCTGCGAGCAGCTTTGCAACACAGTGCTCAACCGCTGAGCCACTGGGGAGGCCTTAAGCACCATTTGTTTTTAAAAGAGTATATCAATAAAATTTTTTAACATTGTAAAGGAGAAAAGCTCATTTCATTTAATTTGGATTTAAATAACATAAGCATACATATAGGCCATACATACATGTACACATATGTGTTATCTTATTTTTCCTTTTTTGATAATGCATTAATTTGTGAACTGAATATAGTTTAAGTATTAATGAAGTGCTTTATGTATTCTTCCCCCCACCCCAACTCTTTCCAGGTGCTATTCAAGTATTGGGAAAGTTCAGGATGCCTTTATATCATACAGGCAATCTATTGATAAGTCAGAATCAAGTGCAGACACATGGTGTTCAATAGGGTAAGTCTTGTACATGTATAAAATTTAATAAAATTAATACTGTTACTGAAACATACAGCATAGTATTATTTTCCATCAATTTTAGACAGCTTATTCTTTACCTTTCTTTACAGTGTGCTATATCAGCAGCAAAATCAACCTATGGATGCTTTACAAGCTTATATTTGTGCAGTGCAGTTGGACCATGGACATGCAGCAGCTTGGATGGACCTGGGCACTCTCTATGAATCGTGTAACCAACCTCAGGATGCCATTAAATGCTACTTAAATGCATCTAGAAGCAAAAATTGTAGTAATACCTCTATTCTAACAGGAAGAATTAAGTTTTTACAGGTAAAAGTATAAACATATTTTACACAATACATTTCCATATGATAATGGGTTTGAGGAGGATGAGTAGAAGTTTTATTGTATCAATGTCAACTTGTTTCCATAATTTTAAATATTTTATAGTAATGTGATTTTCATTTTAATTAAATATGTATCATTTTAATATGTTCTTTTGCACTTTTACTTTGTTTATGCACATTAATTTGCATTATTTTTCTGTGTGTTATCTACATTTTTAAGTTTTAGTATTTTGGTGAAAGAACACGTTTGTTTTTCACCCTTGGTTGAAACATAAGAAGATGACTCTGGAGAATTTTGAAAAACAAAGCTTAGCTTTGTTCCTTTGGCAAGTATATTATAGTTTCCCTCTTTATATTTAGCATATATCTAAACCCACAAATTTAGAATCTTTCTTTCTTTACAAAGTAAATACCTATAACATTGAGGAAGATATAGTAGACTTGCTCTTTCTCAAGTAGGCCTGTGTTAAATTTGCTTTTTACATAATTTTTCCTAGGCTCAGTTGTGTACCCTTCCACAAGGTAGTCTACAGAATAAAAATAAATTACTTCCTAGTATTGAGGAGGCATGGAGCCTACCAATACCCGCAGAGCTTACCTCCAGGCAGGGTGCCATGAACACAGCACAGCAGGTGAGAAGTTGGGTTATCTTCTGCAGGTGCCCAGCTTTTTAAGGGTGCTTTTCAATCTCTAGTGATCAAAATTATAAAGTGACGTAGTGGCTTTAAAAAAATTAAAACCTTTTTTTTTTTTATTTCAAAAGGGATTTTAGAACAAAATAAAGCTTGCTTTCCTTTGGGATCAAATTTGGATAACCAATTTAATATATTCATATATTCTCATTTCAAAAGGGATTTCTTAAGGGAACTATTTTATATAGTTGTTTATTTAATGGAAAAACCAAGTTTTTCAGAAGGTACACATTCCTCCGTTGATAATTCTTTTGATTTTAGTATTCAGTAATTGCAGTCCATAGTGTCCACATACTTTAAAAAGTATATAACTTAGAAAGCTTTATAATTTGAAGGGGCCATGAGTTAAGAACATGTGGAATCTTATTTTTGCCATATTTCTGTGATCCTTAGGCTCATAAAAATCATCATCCAAAAACTGAATCTGTGTTAGGCCTCAGTCAAACACCAATTTCACAGCAGCCCTTGCCATTACACATGATTATTTCTAGTCAAGTAGATAGCCTGTCCAGTCCTGCCAAAAGGAAAAGAACATCTAGTCCAACAAAGGTATGTGTGTGTGTGTGTGTGTGTGTGTGTGTGTATTTACTTTTAAAAATGAACTCTAGTGATTAAAAATAAAGCTGTAAGTAGTCTGAAATTGTGTTGTGGTTTTAAATTTGGTTTGAAAAGTCTATTTTGCAGTTATATGCCATATTTTCTGTTCCAAAATTATAACATCATGGGGGTATAGATGTTAGGAGTAATTTATATTCAGGAATCATTCACATCACTATATCTTTTTAGACACTGACAAAATCTAATGTATATAATGGACACGTGTTACCTCTTTGAACCATGATTTATGTAAGATCCTTTTAAGTCAGGACTGAATGTATGTTTAATACGTTGCCAAAATTTTAAAAAATTTTTTCATTATTTTTAAATGGTTTAAAAATATGTGTTCTGTTTATAAAAATGCCACAGTTTCTACTGCTTGGTGTCACATTATAAATAGGAATTAAGCCAAATATTCATTTAATTTTTTTAAATTTTTTAGAAATTTAAATTTTTTAAAAATTTTTTAGAGTTTTTTCACAGTAATAATGATAACTGGAATAGTGACCATACTGGGGTCATATACTCCAGTACAACAATGAGTTCAGTCATGATATCTGACAACTCAAAAATGATAGTGTGAATTATTTTTTGTTAGTTTTTCCCAACTATATTTATTATTTTAAACAATATTTATTTTACTTATTTATTCCTACAAGAACTGGGATGTAAGCCAGAGGTGTGGGGGATGAGAAGATTCACCAGAGACGGAGTGAGACAAGAATAGGTGGATCTACTGAAATACACTGCTGAGGGGTGCAGGGGGAAGATAGGAGAGATCTGCTGGGTCTTATGGTTTGCTCCCTGGTCTGGGCTTGAACTCTTCCTGCAGTGCTACAGATTGCTTCATAGTGCTGGCACTTTACCCCTTGCCAGGGAGACCAGGGAGGCCCCCTGTTTTTCCCAACTTTAAAGCAGTATAGGAATAAACTAAAATTGAAAGGTAGTAAACAAACTATGTATGTTTTCCAGGTTAGTAGAGAATATAATAAGTCTGACTTAACTTTTAAAGATGTAATGTTCATGTTTAAAGTGAAAGAATTATTAGAGTACACAGGTTATAGGCTTATTTCAGTTTCTTCTTTTAGCCAGTTATATTCCCCTTCCTATGAACACATACTATTAACAGTTTATTTTGTTCTTTTTAAAGAAAGATACATCATACAGGGCCTCCCCGGTGGCGCAGTGGGTTGAGCCCCGCACTGTGAAGCTGTCTGCAGCCTTTGCAACACAGGTATTATTCCCGACCAGCCAGGGAGAAACCCATGTGATATGGCAGATCTCTCCTTCTTGCCCGCTGCTCCCCTCAGCAATGTCTTTGGTCCTTCTGCCTGTTGTGCTCCCTGCTCTGTCTCTGGTGAATTCTCTCACCCTCCTGCGCATCTGACCTGTACCCCAGTTCTTGTATAAATAAATAAAAATCTAAAAAAAAATAACTGCAACCGATACTAAAAAAAAAGAATAAAATATTTTTAAAAAGATATATTATACGGGCCTCCCCTGGTGGCGCAGCGGTTGAGCACTGGGCTGCAAAGCTGCCTGCAGCCTCTGCAGCGCCAGTTCGATCCCCGGGTGCCGGTGAGGGTCCCACATGGCGCGCAAACCTCTCCTGCCGCCTGCTGCTCCCCTCAGCAGTGTATTTCATCACTCTGCCTGTTCTGCTCCCCACTCTGGCTCTGGTGAATTCTCTCACCCTCCCGTGCTTCCGACTGTACCCCAGTGCTTGTATAAATAAATAAACAAACAAATAAATAAATAAATAATAAATCTTTTAAAAAAAAAGATATACATGTGCAAATAAATATGTATTTACTTTTTATACAAATGAAGGTAGAATGCTATGCATAAATATACAGTACTTTGCTCTTTTTCTTTAAAAGATATATCTTGAGTTTTTTGTGTCTTTATGTAATGGCCGTATTTTTGGTGCTATCATAATATTACACTGAAGAATCTATGAAGGCCATCCATTATTGTAATAGGACTCAGTTATTCTAAATACTGTTTTCTTTTAGGTTATTTTCATTATTTTTTTTACAGACAATAATGGCTTAAGTGGTTTACACAATGTAAAACAAAAACAACCTTCTTGAGATGAATTTGTTTTTTTACATTCATAGATTTCTGACACCACTTCATCTTGGGTTTGATTATTCTCAGGAATCACTATTTTTGATTATATAAAGGTTCCAAGTTGTAGAATCTTTTCAGCAACAAGTTATTGATAGCCCTTTGCTGTCTTATTAATTGGATTTAACCTTGCTTTTTTTCTTTTTTCATTTCTCTAGCTTTTGGAACAGCTACGTGGAAATAGAGATAATTTAAATCCAGCTCAGAAATTGATGCTAGAACAGTTGGAAAGTCAGTTTGTCTTGATGCATCAGGTATGTATGAGTAGTTTTCGTATTTGAAATATACATTTCTTTTTAGTATAAGTATATATAATTATGTGTTTTGGTACACAAACTTATATTATTAAGTATAAGTATACTTAAGTGTATTGAAAAGACAGACAAAACAAAACCTAGAAATCTATCTTGCCAAATTAAGGCTACTGGAGGCAAAGAGGGAGATTCGGGAATAATCTATTAGGGAGCACAGAGAACTGTGAGTAGAATATTATATGGGTACCTTGGTGGTGGGTGTATTGTATGAATGTGTGAACCTATACTTCTGAATCATACAGTGGTACATACCAATTTTAGCTCAATAAAATACAGTAAAAATAAAATTTCATGCATGTATTCACTTTTGACTATTTTTGTACTTACTATATATCATCATGTGTCATATTTTTCCTGTCAACAATATCATCTTAGAGTAATTTGATACCTCTATTTCTTGTGCTTAAAAATTTTATGCATCTTAGTTTCAAATAAACTATTTTTTATTTATTTGTTTATTTTTTTGTGGGACCCTTGCCAGCGGCCGGGGAACAAACCAGCGCTGCACAGGCTGTGGGCAGCCCCGCAGCCCAGCACGCAACCGCTGCGCCACCAGGGGAGGCCCTCAAATAAATTATTTTTTAATAGTCATAAATTAATTTAGGATTAAACAGGTGGTATTTTACTATTTGTATATTTTCTAGGTTTGGTCTAAGGACTTATTTTATATTTCACAAAGTATAAATGTTTAGGTAGAGCTGTTTTCAGGATTGTTTAATAATTGAGATTTTTGCCTAAATGTATACAAAGAGAAATTTTTTTTTTATTTTTTTTATTTTTTTATTTTTTAAAAGATTTATTTATTTATTTATACAAGCACTGGGCACAGTCAGAAGCGCGGGAGGGCGAGAGAACTCACCAGAGCCAGAGCAGGGAGCAGAGCAGGCAGAAGGACCGAAGTACACTGCTGAGGGGAGTAGCGGGAGGCAGGAGAGGTCTGCATGCCATGTGGGACCCTCCTCTGGTGGCTGAGGAGCAGACGGGGATCGAACCGGCACTGCAGAGGCTGCCGGCAGCCTCGCAACCCAGCGCTCAACCGCTGCGCCACCGGGGAGGCCCCAAAGAGAAATTTTAAAACCCCTGCTTAGTAATAGTCTGTAACTTGCTCATGTCCATAATTTGCTAACTGTTTTCTTTTGCTCATGTAACAGGAGGTATTTTTGTATAGTGAAAATTATTTTTGCTTTACTCATGAAAATAGAATTTTGAAGTATGTTTTTCAACCTGGAAGAGTAAATGTTTACATAAAATTACAATTGCAGTATTTATATATTTTTGAAGTCACACATCAGGGTTTTTGTTTGTTTCGTTTTTGAAGATGGGTCAAACAGGACAAACCACTGGAATTCCCAATGGGTCAATAACTCATTCATCACTGCCTACAAATTCTGTCTCTAGCCAGGATTTGCATTCCATTCTGCCCAGAGTACCTAGTGTCTCTCAGCCTAAAGTTCACCCTGCTTGTTTTGAAAAAATTTTGCCCATTGGACCTTTTTCTGCAGGCTGTGCTCCTTGCAGCACATCAAAAACACTAGGGAGTACAGATATTATCTCGGTAGGCAATAATTATATCACAGATATTGGAAATAATGGAAATGTGCCTTACCTGCAGCAGAACACACTCAGTCTACCTCATAACTGCGTAAACCTGACCAGCATCACAGAAGAGCCATGGAGAAAACATCTATCTAACTCCACTCAGGTACGTTAAAGATGTGTCATTCTAGGGCCTCCCTGGTGGCACAGGGGTTAAAGACAGTGCCATCAGGCTATTGCCAGCCACTGCAGCATGATTTGGATCCCCGGCCGACCATGGTGAAACCCATATGGTGCAGCAGATGTCTCCTGCCTTGCCCGCTGCTCCCCTCAGTAGTGTATTTTAGTAGATCTGCCTGTTCTGCTCCCCACTTTTTCTGGTGAATCCTCTCACCACCCTGTACCTCTGGCTTAACATCCCAGTTCTTGTATGCATAAATAAAGAAATCTTTAAAAAAAAAAATCATCATTCTATTTGCTTTGATATAATATCTTCATTCTTTGAGTTGTGTAGATTTTAAGAAGAAATGCAATCTTTTTTTTTAAGATTTATTTATGCAAGCACTGGGGTACAGACCAGAGGCATGAGAGAGTGTGAGAATTCGCCAGAGACACAGTGGGTGGCAAAACAGACAGAAGGACTGAAAACCCTGCTGAGCGGTGCAGTGGCGAGACATAGAGGTCTGCTGCGCCATGTGGGTTGCTCCCCAGCAGGGGATTGAACTTGCGCTGCAGAGGCTGCAGACAGCTTCACAGAGCTGCACTGAACCCACTGTGCCACCAGGGAAGCCCTGAAGAAATAAAATCTTTTTTTTTTTAAGATTTTTTTTTTTTTTTAATAGAGGCATGTTTATTTATTTACTTGTTTGTTTGTTTTGTTCATACATGCACTGGGTACAGTCAGAAGTGCGGGAGGGTGAGAGAATTCACCAGAGCCAGAGCAGAGAGCAGAGCAGGCAGAAGGACCGAAGAACACTACTGAGGGGAGCAGCGGGTGCAGCAGGAGAGGTCTGCGCGCCACGTGGGACCCTCACCTGATGGTCTGGGCCTCACAGCCCAGCGCTCAACTGCTGCACCACCAGGAAAGGTCCCAGCATTATATATTTTTGCTTTCCCCATTTTCCCCTTCACCTAATAGCTATTTTTCTTAGTAACCACTAAATTTTATTCCGTTGTCTGGATTTGTAACAGCTCAGTTACCTATCAGTGAATTTCTTGGTTATTTCCCTGTTTTTCAATTATGAATGAAATAAACATTCATATGCAGATTGTTGTGAATTAAAATTCCAATTTGTTCAGATAAAGACCTTGTAACATTATTATGCTGGAGGGCCTCCCCGGTGGCACAGCAGTGGAGCGCTGGGTTGCAAAGCTGCCTGCCGCTTCTGCGGAGCCGGTTTGATCCCCGGCTGCTCCCCTGCCACCGGAGGAGGGTCCCACGTGGCGCGCAGACCTCTCCTGCCACCCGCTGCTCCCCTCAGCAGTGTCCTTCGGTCCTTCTGCCTGCTCTGCTCCCCCCTCTGGCTCTGGTGAATTCTCTCACCCTCCCGCGCTTCTGACTGTACCCAGTGCTTGTATAAAAAAAAAATTAAAAAAAAAAAAAAAAGGAATATACCAAGCTCTCGTTAAAAAAAAAAAACATTATTATGCTGGAACTGATGGTAAACCAAGTATGTGTAGTTTCGTTTAAAAATGCCAAATGTGAAGCAGCTGTACTGTTTTGCATTCCCACCAACAATTAATGAGGCAACTTTTTACATCAATTCTCCCCATTGTACAGTTTATAAAAACAGAAATTCATAAAGGTTCTGGAGACTGGGACATCCAAGATCAAGGAATTGCTCCATTTGGATGTCTGTTAGGTATCTTCTTTCTAATACTCATTTACTTATTATCCTCCATCTTCTCATAGTTCTCACATGGCTTAAGGTATTTGGAACTCTCAGTTTTGTTTTTTAAGGAAACTAATCCATTTTTGAGGGCTCACCTTACTTGATCTAATCATCCCCAGCACACCTCTTCCCCGCCTCTAGACACTATCACACTGATAATTATATTTGTCACTATTTTTGAAATTAACAATTCTGAAAAGAAGTTGATACCTCATTATTTAAGCTTTAACTCCTGATAATTTTAAGGTATCTTCACATGCATACTTGTCATCTATGTATATTCTTTGGTGTGCTATTCAAAACTTTTACACATTTTAAAAAATTTGTCAATTCATACAAGATCTGGAGTACATGCCAGAGGAGTGGGGGGTGAAAGGATTCACCAGAGGCAGTGGGAAGCACAATAGGCAAGCTGATTGAAATATACTGCTGAGGGGAGCATCAAACGAGACAGGAGAGGACTGCTGCACCATGTGGTTTATTTCCCTGGCCAGGGATTGAACTCATGTTGCCACCAGGGAGGCCCACATTTTTAAAATCAGATTTGCATATTCTTATTGAGGGTGAAGAATTTTTTTCCCTACATTTTGGGCTGTACTCTTTAATCATATCTGTTGCAGATTTTTTTCCTCCTATTCTGTGCTTTGTTTTCCATTTTCTTGACTGAATAGAAGTTTAAGATTTTAATTAAGTCTAGCTTGCCAAATCATTTTTTTGATTGTGCCTTTGTAGTTTCTTATAAAGTCATTAACATTTCCCAAGTATTGAGACTTTGCCCTATGTTAATCTAGAAATTTCATAATTTTGATTTTTATATTAGATATATGATCCATTTTGAGTTAACTTTTTGTGTATAGATAAGGACAGTTTTCAGCATTCATCATCTTATATTCTGTATTCTCAATTGTTCCAGTGTCACTAAAAAGTTGTTGAAAAATCTTTAGTTTTGTGGCCATTGATTCCATGTCAGTAGTCTGTTGACTGGGTTTATGTGTATCTCTATCTTTGAAATAGATTTCAGTCATCATTTATGTCTTGTTTGTCAGTATTCTGCCACTTTGTTTTCCTTACCACAGTGTTCCCAGGAAGCACCTATCAACCTTGTGCATGTGCGAGAATATTCTTTGTTAAGTCTGAACAATATTCTGTTGCATGAATAAGCACATTTTGCTTCTTCATTTATCCACTGATAAATGCTTGGGTTGCTTACACCTTTGGCTGTTAAGAATGTAATAGTGTAATAAATGTAGGTATGCAAATATTTCTCAACACCCTGCTTTCAGTTGCTTTCAGTTCCTTTGTGTACATATCCAGAAGTAGAATCCTGAATCACATGGTAGTTGTATTTTTTAATTTTTGAAAAACCACAATATACGCTTTTCTTTTTTTCTTTTCTTTTCTCTTTTCTTTACATCTTTGCTCATTTTTTTTTTTAGGATTTATCTATTTATTTATACAAGCACTGGGTGCAGTGAGAAGTGCGGGAGGGTGAGAAAATTCACCGAGCTAGAGCCAGAGCTGGGAACAGAACAGGCAGACTGACTAAATACACTGCTGAGGGGAGCAGCATGCGTAGTAGGAAAGGTCTGCATGCCTTGTGGGACCCTCACCAGCGGCTGGGCATTGAACCAGTGCTGCAGAGGCTGCGAGCAGCTTCGCAGCCTAGTGCTCAACTGCTGAGCCACCAGGGGAGACCCCATCTTTGTTCATTTTTAAGCAATGTTCGCTTTATTCTTACCCCACTACCAGAGATAGTCCCCAAAGATTTTCCTTCACTAATACACTGGTGCGCCATCACCACAGTTCCCTGGGCTCCTTTTTCCCTCCTTCTGACACCTCTCCCACCTCCTTTCCTACAGGATGTCTCTGAATTATAATTGTTTTTGTTTTATTGTGTCTTGTATCATTATTATTTTCCCCCCTGATGTTTTATTTGGTTCCCTGTATTCCTCCTACAAGTGAAACATGTTTTTCTATTTCCTTCCAACTTATTTTCTTATTTCCTTCTGACTCAGTAGTGCTGCAATAAACATAAGGGTGCAGGTGTTCTTTTGAATCAGTGTTTTTGTGTCTTTTGGGTAGATCCCTAGGAGTGGAATTGCCGGGTCATATGCTAGCTCCATTTTTAGGAGACTGAGGAATCTCCACACGGCTTTCCATAGTGGTTGGACCATTTTGCACACCCACCAACAATGTGGGAGAGTTCCTTTTTCATCACATCCTCCTAACATTTGTTGTTGCTATTTTGTGGTTGTTGTTGTTTGCCGTTCTTACTGGTGTAAGGTAATATCTCAATGTGGTTTTGATTTGCATTTCCGTGATTAGAAGGGATGTTGAACATTTTTTCACATGCCTTTTGGCCATTTGCAATTCCACTTTGGAGAAATGTCTCAAATTTTTCTACCCATTTCTTGACTCGATTGTTTAATTTGTTCTTGTTGAGTCGTGTGAGTTCTTTGTATATCTTTGTGATCAGTCCCTTATCAGTTGACTGGAGTGCAAAGATTTTTTTCCAATCAGTGGGGTGTCTCTCCATTTTGGTTGATGACCCTTTGCTGTACAGAAGCTTTTCAGTTTGATGTAATCCCAGGTGTTTATCTTCTTCTTGACTTTCTTTGCTTTGGGAGATGAGTCTTTAAAGATGTCACTGAGATGTATGTCTTGTAGTGTTTTACCTATATTTTCTTCTATGTATTTTATGGCTTCAGGTCTTATGTCCAGTTCTTTTATCCATTTTGAGTTGAATTTTGTGCATGGTGAGAATTAGTGGTCTGATTTCATTCTTTTGCATGTGGTGGTCCAGTTTTCCCAGCACCATTCATTGAACAAACTGTGCATATTCTATTACATATTGTTTGCTCCTTTGTCAAAGATAAGTTGCCGGTGGAACTCCCTGGTGGCACAAGGGGTTAAGATGCAGCACTTTGAAGCTACCCACAGCCACTGCAGCACAAGTTCAATCCCCAGCCAGGGAGCTACCCACATGGTGCAGCAGACCTCTTCACTTGCCCTCTGCTCCTCTCGGCAGTATTTCCGTCAATCTGCCTGTTCTGTCCCCACTCTGTCTCTGGTGAATCCTCTCACCCCCAGCACCTCTGGCCTGTACTCCAGTTCCTGTGTGCATAAGTAAATAAATCTTCAAAAAAAAAATTTGTCGTCCATGTAAGAACCTCCATTTACTTTCCATGCATCAATTTAACATTCCTACCACATTTCAAAATGTTCTAGTTTCAGTATAACTTTGCCAACACTTGTTATTTTCTCTTTTGCTTGGTTTTTATACTAAAAGTCCTAATCAGGGTGAGGCAATACCTTATTGTAGTTTTTCATTTATATTTTTCTAATAGTCAGTGGAATATGTTCTCATGTTGTTCCTCATAAAAATTTGTTTTTGTTTTTTTTTTTAAAGATTTATTTATTTATTTATGCAAGCACTGGGTACAGGGAGAAGCGCAGGAGGGTGAGAGAATTCACCAGAGCCAGAATGGGGAACAGAACAGGCACACTGACAGAGTACACTGCTGAGGGGAGCATTGGGCAGCAGGAGAGGACTGCTCACAATGTGGGACCCTCACCCGGTGGCCGGGGATTGAACTGGCGCTGCAGAGGCTGCGGGCAGCTTCGCAACCCAGCGCTCAACCGTTGCGCCACTGGGGAGGCCCTCCTTGTAAAATTTTTAAAGGATTTTTTGGGGTAGGAATTAATGTCATTTCTGCCAAAATAGTTTAATAGAGTTTCTGATGACTTCATCTCTTTTGTTTTTGGTAAGTTTCCCCTAGTTTTTCAATGTATTTTAAAATGTTAATTGGGTCAATCTTTCAAAGGTCAGTTTTCCTTTCTAAATTTTAACCTTGACTTTTTAAACATAAATCTTGACATATTTTCATCACATTGAAGATACTTCCTAATTTTTTGTGATTTTTATATTTTTAATTTCATCACATGAAATATTGAGAATTTTGTTGTTTATTTTCTAAAATTTGAAAAGTAGTCAGATTCCATTTTTTAAATTATCTGATATAATTTTGTTTTATTACAGAACATGTTTTGTATAATTCACATTACTACAAATTTGTTGATGTTTGATTATTATGGTATATTGTCCATCTTGGAATATATTCCATGTGAAATTGAAAATAATATTCTGTTGATAGTGATTGAATGAATTATTACATAACAGATTTTAAGTTGAAAACTTTTTTAATATCCTTGCCTTTTTAAAAATTATTTTATAAGTCAATCATTGACAAAAATAGTGAAATCTCCAACTATCATTATAGATACTTTTTTCTATTATGTCTGATTTTACTTAAGTATTGAGTTTCAGATGTAGACAGTTGTCAAGTCTCCATTTAACTTTATTGCATTTACTTTCATAGAATTTATAAACTTAAAATATGTAGATCTATTGCTAAGGAAATAACAAAATTAATACTTTTGATGTAGTTACTTGTTTTCTAATTGATTAATGAGTAGTCGGGTTTGATAATGAGGTTTTGAATTTGTGTATCCTTACCTTTTTTGAATAATTTGGGTACTGATTAGATTTTAGTCATTGTTTCATTTTATGCTGCATTATGTACAAGGATTTATCTTAGTTGCAGTTTTTACTTAGTTCTTTAAAATTAAATCATATCTCTTTACATTGTTAATTTGTGCTACTTTTAATGAGTTGGTGTTGGTAAATTTCATATCACACAAAATTAAAAGGACTTTTAGCTTTATTAGTATGCTGTGTACCACCTCAAAAGCTAAATTTCAAGAAAATGTTTTATAGATTCTGATTACAGTTAACAGTGAAATTGTTACTTAAAACATGTTAGCATGTATTTAACTCTGAAAAATTACTAGCTTAGATTTAACAATAGGTGTTAGAATCTATTACTCTTTGTTTTTCATATTACATTAATCATAATGGTGTTACTGATAAATTAGTATATTAATTACAATATCAGCAAAATTAAGCAAGAACCTTTGTAAAATCAACTTAGGACACCAGAGGCAAATTCCACATATCTACATGATAATTCACTGTGTAAATAACCTTTCTCTGGGTCCAAAGCAACATTTTGAGTGCACTTCCCCATCAAACTCATTTGATAATATCAGTTGTTAGAGGGAGAAATCCTGTCTTTCCACTGCTGTGGCAAGTTTTTTCATATTGTAGTAGAGCTAGCTTATGGAGCAGAAATCTATATAAGCTATTTCTAGAAATATTTGCATGGATGTAACAGTTTTGTGTCTTTGAAGCTACTGGTTATAAGATTTTAAATTACAGTTTCATGGTTTTTTCAAAGATTTAATAAATACAGTTTCTATTTTAAACTTATAACCATGTTTATTTTGTGTTCATGCCTAATTAGCAATGAGCTATTAAATATTGCACATACATAATATATGTAAAATAAGTTGATACATTTCTGTTGGGATAAAAATATATATCAAAATTAAAAAATAAAATGTTTCAAATCCTAGTGTAAAATTTTGGGGAATACTTGTAAAAGGAATAAAATCAAAGGACCCAATTATGTAAATTTTCTCTAGATATGCTAACCATTTTAATTATTTTTAAAAATAATTTTTAATATTTGGGTTTAATCTTGTTATACATTTGTGACTTCCTTTTAAAATTTTACATTTACATCATTCCACATACACTTTTGAGTTTGTGTAATGATTTAAAGAAGTCTTCTTAATTTCTTTATTCCCATCTTTCTTTTATAGGGGCTTCACAAAGGTCAAAGTTCATTAGGACTTAATGCTGATCAATCTCCATTTTCCACTGGACCTGCACACCATCTCCAGACAGCTAGCACTGGCATCCAGAAACCAACTGGGCATCGAACTCTGCCTAGCAATTCAGTAACACAGGGAGCTGATCTCAATCACCTCTCCCCTCATATTGCTACCTCAGGTGGACAACAAGGCACTAAATTTACCAAAGAAAGTGAACCTTCAGGAAATAGTTCTTTGGTGCCTGAAACAAGCAGGCATGCTGGAGACCCACCTAATGGCTGTGCTGTTATCCAAGGACTTTGTAATCATGTTCAGCAACTGACAGCAGAACCTGTTTGTAGTCCTAACCATGAAGATTCTAAATCACCAAAAGTACCAATTTCAGACAATCCTCATGCCTTGTTGATTGAAAAAGCCAATGACAGTGTGGGTACTGGAGCTTGTGACAAAATCAATAATATTCATCCAGCTAGTCATGCAAAGAATAGTATTTCTGTTGCCTCTTCACCGTCTTCAGTCATTTCTATAGCAACACCTTCACCAAAATCCATTGAGCAGACACATATACACAGTGTTACCAGCCTTAACAGTTCTCAGAGTAATGGAATTCTCACAATTAATGGAGAAGTGCTGGAGAATTCGGAGAACTATAAAAAAACTAATCCACCTATAATTAGCCATAAACCTTGTCCTCAGACGATACCATCAATGTCTGTGTCCATTTATTCAAGTTCCACAGAAGTTCTGAAGACATGCAGGTAAGTATGGAAAAGTTTATCTTCAAGTGAAAATGGTTGACTATCAAGATAAATAATATTTGAATTCTTTAAAAAATGGAAATTATGTAAATGTTGATATATATAATTATCTAAAATAAATTTGACAAGGAACTCTGTTTTGGTATAATATTGTAGTTGTAATTTATGAGTGGATCATGTGATAAACATTGTTTTCAACCTGCTATGAGAAATATGTCTCTGTTTAATGTTGCTGACATATGCTCATCAAAGTTATCTAGTCTATAAATGTTCTTATCTGGAGATTGAAATTACAGATTATTTTGATCATTCTTGGCAGAAATTAGGAACACCTGGGAAATCTTACTATTAGTTTTCTTTCATTGGATGTTTCAGGATGAGTGGACCAGTTATTAAGGATCATCTGTTTATATTTGAAGAAAAATCTTTTCTCTGACTCACAGAACAGATAAGTTAGCGGGTAAAGAACAAAATGAGAGCTATAATACTCTTCTCACTACTATGTAAGATCCATGGCTAGGCTTTTTTAAAAAGAAATGGGACTGAAATGTATTTCTCTTTTAATGAATTTTATTAAAAAATTGTTTGAAATCCTAACACTATCAAATATTTCCCTTTCCTTTAAATTTGAACCCATCTTTTTCTTTTTTTTTGTTTAAAAATTTATTTATGCATACAAGAGCTGGTGTACAGGCCAGAGATGTGGGGATGGTGAGAGGACTCACCAGAGACAGAATGGGGAATAGAAGAGGCAGATTGACTTAAATATACTGCTGAGGGGAGCAGCGGGCGAGTCAGGAGAGGTCTGCTGTGCCATGAGGGTAGCTCCCTGGCTGTGGATCAAACTCACACTGCAGTGGCTGCCTATAGCCACCAGGAAGGCCCCAGAATCCATCTTTTTCAAAAGCAACTTACTTATTTATACATACAAGAGTTGGGTGCATGCCAGAGGTGTGGGGGGTGAGAGAATTCAGCAGAGAGTGGGGAACAGAGCAGGCAGATTGACCAAAGTCCACTGCTGAGGGGAGCAGCAGGCGCAACTGGAGAGGTTTGTCGCGCCATGTGGGACCCTTACCGGCACCCGGGATTGAACCTGTGCTGCAGAGGCTGCGGGCAGCTTCGCAGCCCAGCACTCAACCACTGCGCCACCAGGGGAGGCCCAAAAAATAAAAATTATTAAGGAAAAAAAAAAATGCCCCGGGGGGGGGGAAATGTAAAATTTTTCTGTGATACTTTGTAGTACATAAATTTTGACTTTGGTTTTTTTAAGAGATTTTTTCCAAATTTGAGATTGAAATAAAATACAAACAAAAAAAATGCTTTTTGGGTGGTTCTCCTAAGGGTTGTTTTGTTCTCTATTGACCAGTCTACCTGTTGAGTGTATTGAATATCAAAGCTGAAAAAATTCTTAATGATTTCTCAGAAACTTGGAAATATTTTTGTCTTTTCTGTATCTAAAACTTGGGTAATTTGAAATTACTTAGATTATTTTCTTAGAAGGTACCATGAGTGAGCTATTTAATATATGTTACTTCCTAAAGTGAAACATTTTATGTAGCAGTGTTTGTAGTGACCTGGGGAGAAATACTTTGTTCAGTTGCACCTCCCCAGCCCAAAAATATTTATTGGTACAAGAAAAATAAAGGACAAAAAGGAAGGTCAGAGAAAGAAAGTACCAGGGCAGGATTTTTTGTTTTTCCCAATCTGTATTCTCTGTTCATTCCTGATCTCTGCCCTCTTTAACTTAAACTTCTTTGGGATGTTTATTAATGTACTCTAGTTAAGTAAAGGGCTTTACATTATCTGGTTGTTATTTTTATTGTTTTCACTTTGCTGTTCATAATTTTCTCAAATTTCCTTCATTTTGTTGAAAACGACTGCATTTCAACTTTTCTTATGACTATGCAGTACTCCATGGTGTGAATGTACTACATCTTCTTGCTTTGATCATCCATCAACGGATATTTAAGCTGCTTCCATGTCCTACCTTTTCTAAATAACATTGCTATGGGTTTCTTGTTGATGTCATCATGTTCTATCAGTAGACATGAGAATGAGTTATATGCCATGATCCTAGTTGTATGGTAATTCTATTTTCAGGTTTTTTTTAACTTTTATTTTCTTATATCAGTTTTCATTTTTGAATATTTGATTTTTCCCCTCAGGTGTAGTCTCCATAATTTTCTTACCATCACATCACTCATGAACTGTCACTATAGTTTTTTTCTTTTTTAACTTTTTAAAGTATTTCCTGATTGCTTCCATAATGGTTTCATTAGTATTCCTACCAAGAGTGTATAAACGTTCCTTATTATCATCATCCTTTCCAGCTCTTGCTATTGAGGGTCTTTATTGATATATGCCATTCATATGGGTGTGAGGCAGTATCTCGTGTGTGTGTGTGTGTGTGTGTGTGTGTGTGTGTGTATGCTTTTAAAAAGATTATTTATTTATGCATATACAAGAGCTGGGGTACAGGCCAGAGGTACAGGGGGTAAGAGGATTCACCAGAGACAGAGTGGGGAGCAGAACAGACAGAGTGACTGAAATACACGGCTGATGGGAGAAGTGGGGAGACAGGAGAGGTCTGCCACGCCATGTGGGTAGCTCCCTGGCTGGGGATTGGACTCAGCATATAGCTTCATAGTGCTTCAGCTTATCCCCTTGCTCCACCAAGAGGCTCTTAGTGTTTTGTTTTTTTTTTTTTTAAAGATTTGTTTATTTATGGAAGAACTGGGGTATAAGCCAGATGTGCGGCAGGGTGAGTGGATTCACCAGAGACAGAGCTGGAAACAGAACAGGCAGACTGACAAAATACACTGATGAGGGGGGCAGCGGAAGCGACGGGACAGGTGTGCTGCGCCATGTGGTTTTCTCCCTAGCTGGCCGCGGTGGAACCCGCACTGCCGAGGCTGCAGACAGCTTCACAGTTTGATGCTCAACTGCCTGCACCACTAGGGAGGCCCCCTAAGTGTTATTTTTAAAATCATTTTTATAATAACGAATTTCTTAACTTTCTCATACTTACTGTTTGAGTTGTTTATTTACTGTTGTTTTCCAACTTAATTCCCTTATAGCACTAGGGTTTTTTTTTTTTTTTTCTTAAAGATTGATTTATTTATTTGTAAAAGCACTGGGTACAGTCAGAAGCGCGGGAGGGTGAGAGAATTCACCAGAGCCAGAGCGGGGAGCAGAGCAGGCAGAAGGACCGAAGGACACTGCTGAGGGGAGCAGCGGGTGGCAGGAGAGGTCTGCGCGCCATGCGGGACCCTCCTCCGGTGGCCGGGGAGCAGCCGGGGATCAAACATGTGCTGCAGAGGCTGCGGGCAGCTTCACAACCCAGCGCTCAACCGCTGCGCCACCGGGGAGGCCCCCTAGATGTGGTTTTGTTGTACTATTTGTTCAGATTTTGGCTAGCATAAATTAAGTTTTATTTTTGCCAGTATAAGTATGTTTATATTTATTTTTTAAAAGCTCTTGTTTGATTCATTCTGATTGTAGTTGTAATTATTCTGTAATTATTCTGATGTAGTTACAATCATTCTGATTGTAACATCTGTTTCTTTTTGTATTTTATTATTTTTAATCCTCAATCTTATTTTCTTAAATCATTTTTTTTTTAAATTTACAGGCTTTTTTTTTTTTAAGATTTATTTATTTATACAAGCACTGGGTACAGTCAGAAGCGTGGGAGGGTGAGAGAATTCACCAGAGCCAGAGCAGGGAGCAGAACAGCAGACTGACGAAATACACTGCTGATGGAAGGAGCGGGTGGGACAGAAGAGGTCTGTTGCGCCATGTGGGGCCCTCGCCTGTGGCCAGGGATCAAACCGGAGTTGCAGAGGCTGAGGGCAGCTTTGCAGCCCAGTACTCAACTGCTGCGCCACCAGGGGAGGCCCTCATTGTTCATTTCTTTTTGGATTTTCAATTTAAGTAATGACTTAGACTTGCTAACCTTGAAAAGACAATCTTTTGGAATATAAAATATCTATACTTTCCTTGGCTTACCCGTATTCTTCATATTAACATTTTGTTCTATAATAGAATTACAGAAATTATAGAGCAAGCATTTTGTTTGTTGTCAGTTCCTTTTCTTAACCATATTTATATATTTAGGTCTTAAGTAACCTGTAATTGTACTCCCATTTTAGGTTAGTTTAAAAGCTTCTCAAGAATTAAATACTTGACATACTTGGAGTCTTGTAGATAATGTATCACATCTCTTTTTAGATAAGAAACTTTCTAATTAGGGCCTCCCCTTGTGATGCAGGTGGTTTAGCACAGCACTGTGAGGCTGTCCGCAGCCTCAGCAGCGCTAATTCGATACCAGCAGGCCGTCGAGGATCCCACTTGCCATGGCAGACCTCTCCTGTCTCGCCCACTGCTCCCCTCTGCAGTGTGTTTTGTCAGTCTGCTCGTTCTGTTCCCCGCTCTGTCTCTGGTGAATCCTCTGTCTGTGGTGAATCTTCCCGTGCATTTGGCCTGTACCCCGGTTCTTTTATAAATAAATAAATAAATCTTAAAAAGAAACCAACTTTCTAATTAAACTGTCATTTACTGTAAGATACAAAGTGGCCCTAGTAATATTCAGCATTGGCATGTTTTCATTATTATATAGTTATATGGGCAAAATAATTGACTTATTGGGTATTTATTATATACCGCATCTTCTTGATCCAGTCATCTATTTGGGGCATTGATATAGTTTACTTATCTTACCTATTGAAAATAATGCTGCAATAAACATAGGGGTGCAGGTTTCCTTTCAAAATATTGTGGGTTTTTTTTTTGTCCTTTGGGTAGATTCTTAGGAGTGGAATTGCTGGGTCATATGGTAGCTCCATTTTTAGTAATTTGAGAAACGGCCACACAGCTTTCCATAGTGGAAACTGGTGGGGTCAGTTTGCATTCCCACCAGCAGTTTTGGAGAGTGCCTTTTTCACAGCATCCTCACCGTTTGTTATTGCTAGTTGTTTTTTTTTTAAGGTTTATTTTTATTTATTTATGCATACAAAAACTGGGATGTGGGCCAGAAATGTGGGGAATAAGAGGATTCACCAGAGACAGAGTGGGGAGCAGAACAAGGAGATCTACTGAAATATATTACTTGAGAGGAGCACTGGGCAAGACAGGAGAGGTCTGCTGTGACTTGTGGGTCAGCTCCCTGGGGCATCAGACTAGTGCTTCAGGGGTTGTTAGCTTCTTAGTGCTGAGACTTAACCCCTTGTGCCACCAAGGAGGCCCCAATTTTCTTATTCTTCGTTAAAAGTTTTAATATTTTTAAAAGCTGTATTTTATTATTTTACATCTGTTATTTATTTTATACAATGTGAGTTTTATTAGTTGACTAAGACAACTTAAATTTTTTCAATGTCTTAATAGTTTTCTGTTTTCTTGAGTTTTTTTAAAATTTGAGGACATTCTTACACTAAAAAGAGTGAGTCTGGAAGTAATTTTACTGTATTTTAAGATTACAAAGCTTTGCAAATATTTGCATTTCATTAAAGGAAAAAAATAATTCAAAAATTTAAGTAGTAATTATGTATAATGAGAGAATGTATAGCAATTAGCACATCAGTTTGAAAATTATAATCTGGGGCCTCTCCCGTGGCGCAGCGGTTGAGCGCTGGGTTGCAAAGCTGCCCGCAGCCTCTGCAGCGCCGGTTCGATCCCCGGCTGCTCCCCGGCCACTGGAGGAGGGTCCCGCATGGCGCGCAGACCTCTCCTGCCGCCCGCTGCTCCCCTCAGCAGTGTACTTCGGTCCTTCTGCCTGCTCCGCTCCCCGCTCTGGCTCTGGTGAATTCTCTCACCCTCCTGCACTTCTGACTGTACCCAGTGCTTGTATAAACAAAACAAACAAATAAATAAATAAAAACAAAACAAACAAAAAAATACACTTAAAAAAAAAAAAGAAAATTATAATCTGTAGATTTAGGAAACTGAAATCTTATTGAATATTAGGTAGTTGCAGGGAAATTAAACTTGAAAACATTTCATCTTTCTCAGCTTTGAAAGTTGTCACAAAATCATTATGGAGTACTTAAATATGAAGTAGTAAGAGAGAACAGTTTTTATTTTGACATATCTAAAATCTTTTTGGGTCAGGTCATTTGCTGTACATTCAATAAAAAAAAATTGAAGGGTGAAATATGTGTAAAAATGGTATTTCATATTCCTGGAGTGATAAAATAAATTGGAAAGTTTTGAGGAATAAAAGATTTTGTCAATTCATGTTGTATGGATTCGTATATTTTGCTTAGTTTTTCTGAAATCTGTAAGAAATCAATGTGCATATCTTCAGAAATTAGTAGTTCTAATTTTTTTTAACTTCTCAGATATCCTGCTATGATTTGATTTTTGTAAATGCTTCACACATGAACTTTTTACTTTTCTTTTTTTATGTTTTCAATAAAGCTGATATACTTCTAATTTTTTACAGGAATCTAGGTAAAAATGGCTTGTCTACTAGTAATTGCATTCTGTTGGATAAATGTCCACCTCCAAGACCTCCAACTTCACCATACCCTCCCTTACCAAAGGACAAGTTGAATCCACCCACACCTAGTATTTATGTGAGTCTCAATTGACTAACTAGAAATAAATCAAGTGACTGAACTTGCTGTATTTTGAAGGTATATTTTCAAATCAGTGCAAATGCTTGTCAGGGAAAATTAAATTCTCACAGTTTTAATGTGTTGGGAAAACAATTTGATATTTTAGAAAGTGATAACATCTTACTCTAAAGATGATTCATGTACATTTTTGTAAATGAAATTTCATTTACACAACCTTGCTCATTTACATATTGTTTTGCTTAATTGATTGAATTATAATCATTGTAAGATCATTGTAGTCCATAAAAGCAGATATACTTACATTCAGACTTTTTTTATAGAAAGTTTGTTGACACTGGTGTATTAAAAAAGATTTTTTAAAAGAATGTTTTAAATGCATTCTCACATAAACTGGAGTTATTTAAGAGTAGTAAAAAATAATGGCCCTTTGTCAACATTCTAAATATGTATTCTGCTATCTTCTAGTTGTATTGACCTTAAAAATTAATGTTTCTGTTAATTAAAAAGATTTTTGGTTTTAAAGTGGTTAAGTATGTAATAATGATAATGAGCTTATCTTTGATTACCACCCCTAACAGAAATGGAAAAAAAAAAAAAAAAAGATGCTAAGCTAAAAGTTGAACACACAATATTTAAAATGCTATATAGATATAAAATGATCTTGGAAATCTGAAGTTTTTATAGAGTGGTGTAACTCAGATTTATATTCTTTATGCAGTGAAATTTTACTAAATATAAAAGAATGGTCCTGTGATAAAATAAAAATGAAAAAAAAAAAAAAACCCTTTCAAACAAAACCAGAAGGAATTGTATGAAACAGAAGATTTATCTTTAGCATGTCTTTTAAACAATTATTTTTAGTTTGACAATGGCTTTTTAAATACTTTGATGCTGAAATTTAAATTTCAGTTCTCCCGTTTCTTTCACACAGATATTACTGAGGAGAGTACACTTGCAAAAATAAACCTGGGAAATGCTTTTGAAATGCTAAAGTTTATGTGTATTTTATGCATGTTTATGATTTAGGAGGTTGGTAAATACAAAATTTAATGTCTTTTTCAAAAGAGGAACTTATATAGCATTCATCTGCTGCCCTATGAGTAATTTCTTGGGAAGACTAATCATAAAAAGCTGTAATATGTAGAAGAACAATGTTATAATTAATATGCCTTATAGAAGTAAAAGTGCCTGGCTGATGAGAAAATGAGAACATATTCTCAGGATTATAGTAATTTTTCTGATATTTAACAGAACATTTTAATTTTACAGTTGGAAAATAAGCGTGATGCTTTCTTTCCTCCATTGCATCAATTTTGTACAAATCCTAAAAACCCTGTTACTGTAATTCGTGGCCTTGCTGGAGCTCTCAAATTAGGTAAGATTTTTAGGAATAAAAGTTAGACCATTCTTTTACTCCCTTTATTCTCGTAAAATACTGGGAGGAACTCACAAGAATTTCCCCCCTTCCAGTTTTTCAGTTGTTACTTTAATTGTTTCCCATCTCTGCATGTCTCTGCCTCTTTAGCAAATCTTTAATATGTGCTCCAGTACTGATAAATAGCAAATTTATGGTGAATTTTTACTTCCTTAAATTATTATCATTATGTTACACATTACTTAAATTAGATAGTACAGGTCTTTTGAGTATGAAATGTCAGTAAAATTACATCCTAATTTAAGTACTACAACCTTTTGGTATAGTTCGAACCCAGTAAAGATAAACTTCTTCAAGGGACTGTTGTGCATATATGACAGGTCTTGAAGCAGGCTTAGAGGAAATGGACAAAGCTACATAATTTTTCAAAATATTTTTAGATTCTCATAATAGAAGCATATAATCCAATTATATTAATACACTTTATTTATTTATAAAGATCTTGGACTGTTCTCTACCAAAACTTTGGTAGAAGCTAACAATGAACATATGGTAGAAGTGAGGACGCAGTTATTGCAACCAGCAGATGAAAATTGGGATCCCACTGGAACAAAGAAGATCTGGCGTTGTGAAAATAATAGATCTCATACTACTATTGCTAAGTATGCACAGTATCAAGCCTCCTCCTTCCAAGAATCATTGAGAGTAAGTGTTTCTTTGAGATTAATTTGCTCAAGCCACATAATTTCATTTTTTTTCTTTATGCTGTAACTTTATTTTTTTTAGGTTTTTTTTTTTTTTAACATCATTGTTCATTTTTAAGCAATACTTGCTTCTCCCCACTCCTTCAGGTGTAATCCCCATAGAGTTTCCTTCACCAATCAACCCGTGCACCATCACAACAGTGCCCTGTGCTTCTTCCTCCCTCTCTCTGATCCCTCTCCTGCCTCCCCCCCTGCAGTGTGTCTCTGATTTGTAATTGTCTGTCAAACCACATAATTTTATAGTAATCTTTTCAATTTGTATGATTACTGTAACTTACAGATTACTCAGATTCAATATATTTAAGTGAAGTTAGAGTTGATAAAATAAATGTTTGTTTTTTTTTTTAAAGATTTATTTATTCATTCATTCATTCATTCATTCATTCATTCATTCATTCATTTATACAAGCACTGGGTATAATCAGAAGCGTGGGAGGGTGAGAGAATTCACCAGAGCCAGAGCGGGGAGCAGAGCAGGCAGAAGGACTGAAGTACACTGCTGAGGGGAGCAGCGGGCGGCAGGAGAGGTCTGCGCCCCATGTGGACCCTCCTCCAGTGGCCGGGGAGCAGCCGGGGATAGAACCAGCGCTGCAGAGGCTGCAGGCAGCTTCGCAACCCAGCGCTCAACTGCTGTGCCACGGGGAGGCCCAAAATAAATGTTTTTAATAAATAAAAATTTTACCTTATACAGTATCTCTTAAATTTGGAGATTTAATTATGATGAAAAACTTTCTGCTTAGCAATTGTAAAATATTTATAATATGAAAATTATGATAGCTTGCATGTTCATTTGTTAAATGAAAAGTAGTTTTCATCTTACTTAATAGATTTGTGATTCTCCAAGAAAACATAAACCTAGCAATAGCATCGTTATAACTAAGTATATTCCTCAAATTTTTTTATTGTTCATTTTTAAAATTTAACCATTTTTCTTTCATATAATTTATTTATAGTGTTGACCTTTTAAGAATTACATTTAAGTGGATCACTGAAACATAAATGAAATTTTTGAAATGTAGTTAAATTTATAATTCTTTCATTTTCCTTATTTCTAGAAGGTTTGATATTCTGAGCCTTTTTTATATCATTTTGACATCAGAAGGATTAAATTTCATGTGTAAATTATATAGTTGTACAGGCTCTTTTGTGAAATAAACACTACAACATTTATTTTTATTAAGTATAAGTTCAATAGCATTATGTAAATCCTGATTTTTTTACAATCATCAGCACTATCCATTTACAACAATTTTTTATCCCAAACTGAAGCACTGTATTACAACAGTAAGTCTCAATGACCTCCTTCCCCCCATTCTTGGTAACCATTATTCTATTTTGTGTTTTTATAGATTTGACAATTTTATCTGCTTATAAAAGTGAAATCATGTAGAATTTGTACTTTTTTTAAATTCCATGTAGCAGAATGTCTCCAGGTCCTTGCATTTAGTAGTGTTTATCTCATTCTTATCCCTTTTTATTTTTTTTAAGGATTTATTTATTTATGCATACAAGAGCTGGGGTGTAGGCCAGAGATGTAAGGGATAAGAGGATTCACCAGAGAGAGAGTGGGGAAGACAGAATAGGTGTGTTGACTGCAGTACACTGCTGAGGGGAGCAGCAGGTGAGAGTCAGGATAGGTCAGCTGGCCAATGTAGGTTGGCTGCCCAGGATGGAACTCATGCAGCTGTGGCTGTGGATAGCTTCATAGGCAGTGGGTTTTTTTATATATGTATTTATTTATTTATTTATACAAGCACTGGGTACAGTCAGAAGCGTGGGAGAGTGAGAGAATTCACCAGAGCCAGAGCCAGAGCTGGGAACAGAACAGGCAGGTTGAAGAAATACACTGCTGAGGGGAGCAGCGGGTGCAGCAGGAAAGGTCTGTCGCACCATGTGGGACCCTCGCTCGGCAGCCAGGAATCGAACCGGCACTGCAGAGGCTGTGGCAGCTTCGCAACCCAGCGCTCAACCGCTGTGCTACTGGGGAGGCCTCATAGGCTGTGTTTTAACCCCTGGCACCATCAGAGAGACCCTGTAATCCCTTTTTAAAATTGAGACATGCCTGATTGAATTTATTTACTATGGTTTTCCATTTACCCATTCTTTTTTAAAATTTATTTATTTATTTATTTATTATGGAGGCATGTTTTATTTATTTATTTATTTGCTTGTTTGATGATTTGTTTATACATGCACTGGGTACAGTCAGAAGCACGGGAGGGTGAGAGAATTCACCAGAGCCAGAGCGGGGAGCAGAGAAGGCAGAAGGACCGAAGTACACTGCTGAGGGGAGCAGCGGGCGGCAGGAGAGGTCTGCGCGCCATGTGGGATCCTCCTCCGGTGGGTGGGGAGCAGCCGGGCATCGAACCGGCGCCACAGAGGCCGCGGGCAGCTTCGCAACCCAGCGCTCAACCGCTGTGCCACCGTGGAGGCCCTCCATTTACCCATTTTTAAGTAATTTGTAAAAGTAAAAATAGTGCTGCTTTGAAAATTGTTGTATACATCTATGTTCTCATCCTTGGTTTCAGTTCTTTAAGTTCTACACCCAAAAGTGGTTTGGTTGGATCATATGGTAATTCTTTGCTTCACTTCTCAGAATCTGTTTCCACAATGATTATACCATTTCCTGTTTCTTAGAACCAGTATTAGTGAAGATTCTGTTTTTTCTACAGTGGCACTTGAACTTTTTTTTAATACATATGAATTGATAACCTGCAGTTTTATTTTATTTTTTTTTAAGATTTATTTATTTATGCATTCAAGAGCTGGGGTACAGGCCAGAGCTGCAGGGGGGAGAGGATTCCATCAGAGACCGAGCGGTGAGCAGAACAGGCACACTGACTTCAGAAATATACTGCTGAGGGTAGCAGCCTGCGAGACAGGAGAGGTCTGCTGTTACATGTAGGTAGCTCCCTGGCCAGCCGGGGATCGAACTTGTTTTTAATACACATTTTCTTAGATAAGGTTGGAAATCTTAGCATGTGTTTATTTTTGTTTGTTTTGGGGTCTCATACTATTTTTGTGGTGGTCATTTTTTTTTTCACTGCATACTGTTTTTTTTTACTGAGGTAACATTAGGTTCCCCCCACTAGGTAGTCTAGGTATCACCACTATATGTGTATACCACCAGGTCACCCAAATTGTACCACCGTAGTCCATTGTGTTTCCTTCTCTCTTTCTAGTGTCCTTACCCCACCCTGCCCTTGGTGCTTCAGTTCTGTAGTCAGGTACCAAGGGTTAGTTTTTTGTTTTTTTTTTAAAGATTTATTCATTCATTCATTCATTTATTTATTTAAGAACTGGGGTACAAGCCAGATATGCGAGAGGGTGAGAGGATTCACCAGAGACAGAGTGGGGAAGAGAACAGGCAAACTGACGAAATACACTGCTGAGGGGAGCAGCGGGCGGCAGGAGAGGTCTGCCATGTAGGCGGGATCTATCCAGCACTGCAGAGGCTGCCGACAGCTTCACAGCTGCACTCAATTGCCTGCGCTGCCAGGGGAGGCCCTCAAGGGTTAGTTTTTAAGCTTGTATTTAACCCTTAGTTTGGTTTTCCTCCTATAAATGTTAGTGAAATTTATTGTTGTGCCTTCTAGCTATATCCATGTTGCCTCAGATGGCATGTGTTTTTGGATCACTGAAATAGTCCTTTGTTTTATTTACCACATTCCTTGATCCACTTGATCTGTTTCTGGACAATTAGACTGTTTCCATAATTTGAATATTACAAATAGTTCTGCAGTAAATACAGGAGTGCAAGCCCTTTTTGAATTAGTATTTTTTGTTTTTTTATATAGATGTTTAGGAATGTTATTTGTAAAATCTATTTTTGTCATTGGAGACACCTCCATACTGCTTTACATACAGGTTGTACCTATTTATATTTTCACTAGCTTTGTAGGAGGATTTCCTTGTTTTTACTAGCCAGATTTACTGTTTCTGGTTTTTTTGGACTACTCTCACCAATATTAGTAATGTGATCTTGATTTATATTTCCTTGATGATAAGTGATGATGAACATTTTATGACTTTGTAGAAGTGTCAGTTTAGTTCTTTTTCCCACTTAATTTGATCGGGTGCTATTTTTTTCCTTCTTGAGTTATATGAGTTCTTTGTGGATCTTTGCTCGCAGTTTCTTTTTCATGGTGTATAAATATTTACTCCCATTCAAAGGATGTCTTTTCATTTAATATTCTTTCTTTTGGTGTGCAGAGATTTTTAATTTTTTATTGTACCAGTGTATGTTCCCTTTTGTTTTCCTTGCTGTTGGGGATGTATCCCAATGGACATCATTGAAACTTATATCATGAAGTGTTCTTTCTCTGTTTTCTTGTTTGTATTTTATGGGTTTGGGTCTTATAACCAAGTCTTTTATCCATTTAGAGTTGGTTTTTGTGTTTGGTCTGCATGCACCTGTCCAGTTTTCCCAGTAACATTGATTGTCGAGTCTATGCTTGTTTCTGTATGTGTTCTTGGCCCTTTGTCATAGATTAACTGTCCTTATAGTTTGGTTTATTTCTGGTTTTTCTGTTTTATCCCATTGGTCTGTTTGTTTCTGTTTCTGTTGCAGAGCCAGGCTGTTTAATTATTATGAATTTGTAACATACTTATAGTCTGGACATTTAATATCTCCATTCCTTTTACTTTTGGTCAGGATTTTTGTTTTACTTTATTTTCCCATTCAGAGTCTTTTATGATTCTATATGAATTTCAATAGTGTTTTTTCTAGTTATTTGAAAAATGTCATTGCTATCTTTCCCAGGAGCACACTAAATATGTATATTGCTTTGATAATGTTGATTCTTATAATACATCTGCATGAACTATTTTTCCCTGTTCTCTGTGTCATCTTTTATTTCTTTTAACATTTGTTTCTTTTAATGCTGCCTTATGATTTTCTTTGTGTAAATTGTTCACCTCATTTGTTATGTTTACTCTAGGTATTTGGGCTTTTTTTTTGGTGTGATTGCAA